TAACAAAACAGGTTTGGAAAAGAAAGATTTACCTAGCTCTTACTCTGTATCTGCAAAAATCAGATACTTAGACATATAAATTGCATGCAGAAATAGCTGGATATGAAAAAAAGAAGCGATGAAAAGCTGGCATATGGTAAACATACATAAATGACTTTCTTCTGTTTGATTTTTGTACTCGGGCAATGGAGATTTTCTTCAAAACCTTCCAGGGGCTGCCAGTTATAGCCATACCTGTGCTGGTCATGCTGTGCAAGAGCTGCATTAGGCCCTAACACACCGCTGCAGAGATACTGATAATGAAGTTTCAGTTAGGGGAAATACACAATGTACGGTGCAAGCTGTTAAGAAAAGATTTAGAGCTCCTATCTTTTGGTACTCAAACTAGCACAGCTTGGTGGTTTGTAAAGTGGCCAGTGAGCAGGCACATACCTAGCAGCTGATCGCCGTTACTGTGCGTGCACAGGGTCTTGACAGGTTTTCATATCTCTAAGGACAAGATGAATCGTCCACCTCAAATGTTTGAATTTCATGTAAGTACATATCTTGAAGCATAAGCTGACCTTTTGCCCACATCAGCCCATGCATAGTAGGAGCTACATAAAAGCTAAATTCAGTTAAAGTGAGATGTTGTTTCTTCTCTTCCTAAAAAGTACAATTTTCATGTGATTTAAGAGTGGCAGAAATGTTCTGCCACACGTAAACTTGTGCACAAATGGTAAGTATGACAAAACCATTAGTCCTTCTTTGCCATTCAGCCTTACTGTAAATCTTTCCATTCTTTTTTCCTAAAGTATCTAAGGTTACTAATGCCTCACTGTATAGCAATCAAGCAGACTGCTTCACCTGCTCATTACGCACTGTGGAATCAGCGTTGAAATAGAGGATGCCAATTCACACAGGCTACCCATGTGCACAGCTTTGTGAGGCACTGAAACAGCTGCTATATTTAAATGCATTTCCACTTCTTTCACAGAACTAAGGTTCTAAGCCCTTAATTCTTTGTATAAAATATTAGGTATCTCACAACAGGCATCTCTGAAAAAGAGTGATACTGTATTTTTTGCCGTTCTCTTTGTAAAATGCATTTGCTTCTCCTAAAGCTATTACTGAATACTTTTGTTTAGGGAAATTATGTAGAAAAGAGCTAACAAATAGAGTACAGTGTGGCAAACCCAAGGGGCACAAAATGAAATTTAAAAGCTAATAAAAGTTATGAGGTGTATGCATAAACTTTAATTCTTCCTCTAGAGTACAGCATGGTGCAAACCTCCAGTGGTCCCAGAAGAGATCAGGAAAGATCAAGGGGCTCTAAAAGGGAATCATTTCTTTCTTCTTTGTAAACAACTGCTCCATTGGAGGGAGTGGAAAGTAAGTAGAAGCAAGATTGAAGACTGGGAGGGGGCCTTCCCTCTCCCTTAGACTGTTTCCAGTGATTTACTTACAGATAATTGGAATATCATCAACGACAGATTTCTAACTATGATCTGGGTAACTTTGTCACTGTCATAAAGACAGCTGTGTGTCAGTCCTCCTTACCCACTAACTCCTCTTCACAGCTGGGCTAGGACTTCTTGCTAGATCATCTTGCTAAATAGTACAACGCCTGTGTGGAAACAGGGACGAGACACAAGTTAGCGACAAAAAACACACTACTTTTCAGAGGAAGACTGGTCATTAACATGTACAGCCTCAATATCATCCAGAGTTTGGCAAAACAGGATACGCATATTGAAGGGATGTGGTAAAGAATGGGCCCATGCTGTTTGCTATTTCCATTTCACAGTAGTCACGCAGCACAGGGGCCTGCTCACAGAGGCAGTTGCGGAGCTCTTGGGCTTGGTTCAGCCCCCAGATATGGCACCCCAAGCAAGCTCCAAAGCCATCACCTGGCTGCCAGGAATTGCTGCCATACACAGTGGTCCAATCATTCTCTATGCCCCGTGTTGAAGATTGGGAAAGTCCATGCTAAACACAACTTTGACACATTTACCCTCAATATGGTGGTTTCCTCAGATTAGGGAGGCCACAAGCTACCCAGGTGTTGCAAAACCAATCAAGGAGGACAAAAAGGGATCCACAGAGGGATTTCAACATTTTCTCATCAATATATTCTCTTTCAAAAACAGAAGAGTCCCCTTGTCGTAACAGAATTTTGCATGAAAGTATTACCATAATGTCCAAAGACATTACGACATCAGCTAGGCTTTTGAAGGGGGAAAAAAGTCAATTAGCATCTAGAAGTGTCTCAGCTATAAAATACATATAATTATTTGAGTTCCTTTAAAAAAAAACATTTTTTCTGAAGTTCTATCTTTTCTACTCATTTTTCTCTCTTTCTTACCCTACTCCTTATTGTGTAAATTCAGGCCTTACTTATTATTTATAGTGGAGCAGCACTTAGACATTATAGTCAAAACTCAAGGTCTGTTTGTGACAGGCACTGCCACAAATATGAGACTCTGATTTCTCTTCCAAATAGTCTACAAATTTTAAGTATAAAATAAGACATTATGGCTAAGATGCACAGAGTGGGCAGAAGGTGATATTACATTTGATGTAACAAGCAGTGGTGACAATTAAGTTTTGTTCTGCATGAAAGGAACATATTCAAGGATGTTTACTGATGGTCTTTTCCAACACTATCTTTTTAATTAACAATCACAGTCAAAATTCCGAAGGCCACTGTACCCTAAACACGTAAAGTTTGTAAGCCCTTTCTGAACTCTTTGCCTCTGTATTATGTACACTGCAACAAGTTATTCTCGCTCTCTCAAAAAAAAAAAAAAAGAACACACACGCTTTGGAAATGGAAGCAGCTTTGTGTTGTTTAATAGCCAGCTTGCTGGTAGTCACCATAAGGAAAGTAAAAAATGATTTGATCTGGAGGAGGAACTCTTTTCTGAGAGAGACATTTTTCTCTTGGTTGGTGTTGATATCTGTTAAATCTGTTAATTAGAGAAATCTGAAAAAGTACTCTCAAATGCTATAACCACTTTAAAAAAAATCACTTTGAAGCAAGTTACAGTCACTTCATAGTCACAGGTATCAATCATGCTTTTTAATATTAAACCCCACCCTCCAAGCCTTCCATGACAAGTTACTATGCCCACTCAACTGTTACAACTTACCAGTTATCATACAAAGTTGAGTGCCACTGAGTTCAAGCCTTTTCTTCTCTCTTATGGTCTTGCTTTAATTTTGTCCTTATATTTCCTTCCAACTACTAATTTCTAAGCATTTATACCTTCTTTGTTCATAAATTTGAATCTGGAAAGCTGATGTTCCTGCTTTTCCCACTCTGAAGAGCAATTCCCAGAAGAAGTGTCACTACAAAACTTTATCCCAGCTCTTGTTTCTTATTTGCCAGTGTTGTTGTTAGCTTTCAGCTCTCCTTACACCTTTTATTTTACCTCTGCTAATTGCAAAGTCTTTAGGAATTGTGGCTTGTCTAATATTTGTGAAGTAGTGTGCAAAATTTTGGAGTATTTTACTAGTAAATATGAATACAGCTGAACTCAACCATTAATTGAAATGCCAAAGAATAGATTGTTTTCCTGTTCTTTTGAACTTTTACTGTTATTAGAGATATTTAATTAGTGCTAATTAAGTACTTTGAGAAGCTCAGCAGAAAGTTTTTATAGAAGTGCACAGTTCTGCTAGTACTTCAACGAGAGAAATATAACAACAGAAAATCACCAGACAATGGTGATGAGTAACCTGCAAGAGGAGAGAAACTGTAATTTCACCCTAATTTAAAA